ACATTTGTAAACTTCCCATGATAATTATTCTTCTTGCATCATTGCAATATACATATAATGATATAATAATTCTTTCTTTACTTATCCCCGGGACGCACATTTTTACATAATTTGGCATTATTGCTGTTTATATCGAGGTTTACCTACACCAAGTGTTTTTAATTACATCCAATGGTTTTACTTATGTCAAGGGCTTCTACTTTAGTCAAATCGTCAAAATGGCCCTGGTAGAAACTACCTTTAGTCAATACTTTAGTTACATCAATGACTAAAGTCAAAAGTTTCGTCATAGATCAATAGATCCGGTGGAAGTTTTTTGGCCCATACGTTGGATAGTAACAAATATTAATATGCTATCTGGTCATAAATTATCTGACTATTCGTTCAATCAATTATAAATAATTAAAATGCTTATATAAATTATTAATTTGAAAAACATGTATAATATGAGTTAACAATGTGAAAATCAGAATGGTTGCAGAGTTTAAAATGGTAACAGTAAATGACGGTAGAGTTAAGGTTTATGGCTAATTTTATTAATAAAATTTCGAGATTGATCATTTTGCGTTCGACTGATAATAAATAAAAAATGATGCGGTCAAAAAACGAAATAGGAGATTCAAATATTGTCTTTTATTTTATTTTTTACTTTTCGTAATTTATAAAAAATAAAAATAAAAATAAAAATATAAAAATTTATAAAAAATAAAACCATTTACAAATAACTAAAAAACTAAACAAGATATTTTGAGCAATAACAATGCCACAAAATTACCAATAAAAATATATAAAAGAACCACTATGGATTTGTTTATATTTTGTTGTTTCCTAACATGAATTAAATAAAACACCATCGTTTTCACAATTTAAATTTAAATCTTTTAATAATAATAAGGTTCTGTTCCTCCATCAACAAATTTAGCGCCGAGCGAGATCTTTATCTAGCACATTCAGATGAAAAAGAAAAAAGCGGAGGTTGTCTAAGTAATGGCGAAAAAAAATCTTGATTACATTTGTCTGCTGGCATTTCTACTTTTATTGTACACATGCATGTTCCTAAAGTTTCAAGAGCTGATGTTGTAGCAATAAAAGCATAAGCTAAAATGGCTAAAATAATGACAAGTTTATTATAATTGTGCATGTTTTATTATTATTATTATTATATTTATTATATGAAAATATAATTATTATTTGATTTTTAATTTTCGATTATAATGAATTTTTGGAATGGAAGAAGAAGAGTCTTTTTATATGTATTTTTATTACTATTTAACTAGCAATTGCATTTCCAAGGACGAAGACATTAGTCGCTGTACTACATATTAATGTTTTGTTAATGTTAAAGATGGTTGCGTGTGAAATTTATAATTAAATATATAGTGTTTAACGAGAAACTTTCACTTGGTGCAACTGACCCTAACAATTGATTTTCAATTGTTTTAAAGTAGGGGGTGCTATCGCATGTGAAATTCAAATTAGCCAATCAGAGTTTCATATCCAAAAACTCTAAAAATTTTTAAATATAGATTATAATTTAAATTTGTGCTAGAAAATTATATTTAGAAATGCTGTAAAGATTATTATAGGTCAAATCATTAAAGAATATGTTGTATAACTGCTGTTCAAAATTTTTTTTTAGAATTTTTTTTTTTGGGGCAGACTTCACCTGATTCTACTACAATGCATGTTAAAGTGACTTGTAAATATTTCTCTTGGTCGTCGTTCACATCTATTATTCGATATAAGTTTTTGTTTTTTTTTTTTTTTTTTAAGAATAATAAAATCTTACTCTTAATAAAGACATTGAGAATTCCAAATTTGATTTCACAAATCTATTTCTGCTTATGAGAAAGACTTCTGACCGAATAGTAGATAGAAATAATATAATTGGTGGCAAGTTTGCAGAAACAGAAAAGGAAAAAAATAACATTTTGTTTTTAGTTATCTTTGGTTAGGTTGATTAATTATAAAAATAGGGTAAAATAGAAAATGAACAAAAAAAAAAGAGGAGAATATTCCCCAATGTGAAAATATTATCAGTCAAGTTAAAACCAAAAACCTGAATTAATTAAACAGATAAAAATTATCCGAGTTAATTGAAGAAAAGTCAATATGCAAAATAAAATTCAAACAAACTGAATTAATTAAATCCGGACAACTAAGTCAGGGCTAAAGTAAAAAAGAGTAAGCTCAGAGTATAAGGTTTATACGTTTGGATCGATTGTGCCATTTATTTTATATGGAGGAGATTAAGAAACAAGAAACGAAAGTACTCGTTATAAAGATCACAATATTGGTCTCAATCCATATGATACGAGTGTATAATAAAATTTAAACTATAAGCAACTTTTGATAAATAAATTCTTTGCCGAAATTTATTAATCCCTATTAATCCCTATTATTTAAAGTTGAGAATTTTTATTCAAAATCGAAGAATTGAAAATTATTGCACCAACAATCCCTAATGTATGAAACTTGTTCCAGACATTGTACGCAAATTCTATAATTTTGTTTGTTTCTTTTCAGGTATCATTATTGAGACTTTTTACATATATGTCACATTAATGTTGTCTGGACTTGGTACATCTGATTAATAACCTTAATTGAATTTCTGTGAATTGGATGAAAGGAGCGTGCAAAGGTGAAGATTAATTAAGTTAAAGCTCGAATAAAGTTGAAGGCTTAGGACTGGGGTCGAAGTGTTTATGATGATGGAGATAAAAATCATGCTAACCAATTTTGTGACCCTAAACACAGTTTAGGGAAAACCCCGAAACCGAAACCTCCCCAAATTAGTTTAGGGAGTTTTTAAATCCTAAACCATACCAAAACCTAAACCATTACCCAAACCTAAACTCTTATCAAAACCCATACTGAAACTAATTTTATATCGAAATACAAAAAATCACCAAACCTAAACCCCAACCTGAAATTTTTTACCAAAACACAAACTTCATATGCGTTGATTTTGTTTGAACCCCAAAATCCAGTACGGTATGATCATAACGTTATGAATACTTTATATTAGCAAAAACCCATCGGTTTTGAGGTGATACCATTGGTTTGACGGGCTACCGAATAGTAAAATAGTTTTTTTTAGCAGAGCAAATAAATTTTTTGTGGGGTTAATTATCATTCTATTGACCAGTTTACACATCATGTTTAACGTGTTTAACGTCGAGATACAATATACGTTATCATTTTGATGATCTGTATATTATAATAATTCAAGGCCGTCTAAACATACATGATAAATAAGTGAATTTATAAAATAAAATTGTTTAATTGAAGTTTTCGTGAATTAAGAGGATGGTAAAGATGAAAGAAACTTTGTGGTAGCGCTCAAAATTTTTACATATGTATTGATGAATTTATTTTAATAATAACCAGAGCTTTAATTTTTTCCTCAATATTAAATTTCTCCCGCGTACTTTTCAGTTAACAATAGTTTAATCAACAAAAGTCACATTCAATATTAACAATGTTGGCGACAACGACGACATTGACAACAATAATTACGATGATGATAATGACATTTTAATATGTACCAAAATAACGTAGTTTACATAATGTTTATTTAATAAATTTCAACATGTTAAAAGATAATTTGGAGAGAATTATCAGATGATACTACAGATTTTGAAGAAAGTTATGAAACCAGCGATAGATGTGAAGCAGCAATTCATACTAAAATTTTGCGTACAAAAATTAAATATCCAACCAAGAAACATGATTTACGATGTAAAAAATGTTTAAAATTAATTTTTTGTTTAATTTTATATTTTCGTCATCTTTATCACAATTTGACTTTTGACTTTACCCTTTGTCACATTTCGTCACATTTCGTCACATTTGACGAAATACTTTTTACATTCCAAAATATTTCGTCACCCAACCCAAGATCTACCTACATATAGTGTTACGACCTTCCGGTAATTAACGGATTACTGGGTTGTAACGGGTTAGCGTTAATAGAAATTTTTTGCACAATAATAATAACAACGGTTGTTGACATTAATGAATTACAGTTGGCTTATTATTATTAAAGGATTTGTTGTTACAATCCGCAACACTTATACCGAAGTGAGAGACTTTTCAAATGCTGGTAATTTATTAACATGTAAAAGAACACGGATGAAACTTGGTTTTTTAAAAAAATATGTACTTCAAAAGAAATAAATCACAACTTGAAACAATTCATCCTCTAAATTAAATAAATAAATATATTATTATTTTATAAATAAATGGTTTTAATTTTATTTAATATCATATCAGTCGCATGACATTTCCCGCTGATCTATAAGAGGTTGTAAAACTATATAGTAAAATTTTATAATCGAATGTCTTCACACCCTCGTTTGATACCCTTGCTGTGTAGCAACCACCGCCAAATTTGAGATATAACTTCTTTATCATATATACTGCTTTAAGAAATTTTTTAAGGCAGGTTGTTAATAAAACCGAAAATAATCTGACCCTCAAAGTCAAATTTTGCTTTTATATTCATATATGTAAAATTTGTTTTGCCCGTTCAATTGCAAGTATATTACATTATTATGAATATTTACAGATTTTTGATCACTCGGGTGTCTTTTATAAGTAAATAAATAAATAGATATTAAAATTTTCTTTATTATATATGTACTTAAATAATGATTAGAATAATAAACAAGCAAAAATAATGAATAAATTAAAAGGTGTTTTATCTCTGACTTTATTCATTTAATTATTTATCATAGTGATGTTATTTAAGTTAAAATAAAAGAAAAATTTATATACATAAATAAATAACAAATATGACTATTGAATGATTGTTAAAACGTTCGTTAGTATATTTGCAAGCTTCAAAGATCTTGTCCTTAATGCTTACTTTGATCACTCTTACACATATTATTAAATAATTGATAAAACGTTTTTTAGTATATTTTGTTCATAGATCTTGTCCTTAATGCTTACTCCTACACAAACCATTGAATAATTGACAAAACATTCGTTAGTATATTTTGCAAGCTTCGTAGATCTTGTCTTTAACGCTTATTTCGAACTACCACAAACTGGATCTTAATCTTTATTATCATCATCAAAACGATGATTCGTTGTCGATTGCTATTTTGTTGCTACTAATATTATTATTTAATGTTGCTATAACAACTACTGATTGATGTATATTCGTAATAATCATTAATGAATTTTAATCAATATAAAACAAACACTAATAAAATACCTTTTAGTTTTTGCTGAATCCCATCTATATAAAATTTTCACGACTATTAAATTTCTATATAATAGTTTTTCCTAAGCCCCTCTAGAACCTATTAACCAATATCCCCCATAAAGTAATAACCATATGAAAGCTTAAAGTATTCTACACCTTCTCATTTACTATCAAGTCTTTTAAAGCGATATGAGAAATAATCTGAGCTTTGAAGTGAAAAAGTAATACTGTTTTTGAATAGCCGTGAATTCACAAAGAGAACACCTTTCGATATGAAAAGGTATTCATTAGAAAGCTTTAATGAATGTGGTACTTTCATTTTATTCTAACAACAAAGTTCAACTTTGTTATAAAAATAGCGAGATATTTTTAAAAAAATTTCATGTGACACGAATTTCGAATTTACTTTCATATAAAAAGCAGCCTCAGGGATATGTCACACGACCAATACATTCTAATCATTATCTGGTCCAGTTTTCATCTGATCGGATTTGGGATAAGCAGGTAGTAATAGTAAACAAAGAATGCTTTTCCAATTCCTGGAATTCCTAAAATGCAAAAGTTTTCTAAATCATCACTGTCAAAAATTGTCTTGGAGAGATCAGAATAACATTGAGGAACAAAAATATTTGATCATTGACTTGATTGCTTTACACAATAAGTAAGCACCTCAGAGAAATTATTTCTTTGTCAATTTCAATATTCTGGATCTTTTAAAAAGGACTGTCATCAGGAGGAGCAATAGAATGCTTTTGAAGCGATTAATTAAGAAAATATTAAAGCGTCATTGGTCAAATAAATTCCGTAGTAATAGATAAAGGAAGGAAGAAAAAGAAGAAAAAGATACCGCAACAAATTAGTCATGGAAAATGTTGTATATGA